CATTGCGATCTTGGTCTTCTCCCTCCCCTCCATCTTCGGCTCACCTCTTCCCCCATCTCACGTCTATGGCATCTCCCCATGTGTGTGTACACGGAGGGACGATTCTCCTTTGTGTGTGGTCCCTCCTTCTCTCACATGTGTGATGTATGATGGGATGTAGTGTCAGTCCCGGTCAGGTCAGGACTTATATCCAAGTCTTCCACTGCGCTATTTGTGCCATTTCGTATGTATCAGGCTGTACATCGCTTGTTGATGTTTCACTAACATTGCATTGCCCATTCAGTCCTTTTCATCACATTGCGGATCCTTGGCTGTACATACATTGCCCAACCGGGCATGTATCAATGTCCCAGCAAAGTCTGGAAGATACCGGACTGACAAAATGTTTGCAGCAGACAGGCCGTGACCAACCGGTACCGGTCTGAAGCAGGCCAAGCCAAGCCAGGCCAAGCAAAGACAAGCCCTATATTTAGCTGCTACAGTGATGCAATGACTTGCTGGTTCCAGGTCGCCTGTAGCCTATCTCTGACGAGGCTGTACTTTAGGTAGGGGTAGATTCGTAATTTTGTTTGGCTGAGGGCTAACCGAGAGACCTGCCTGTATGGGAAATTCGTGAGGGACATATCTGTAAATATAGAAATATGGGCCTTGCACTAACTTGATTTTCCCACAGTCACCCTAACTGCGAATAGCAGACCCAGGCTACCCCTAGGACAGACAGGCCCTATTGGGCCTATGCCGAGAGACGGTCATATAGCCTATAGCCGGGTAGGGAGAGGCCCTAGAGGCCGAAACTGAAACGGTACCGGTTGGTCAAACGGTACCGGTCGGTCAGTCAGTCCGGTCTAGGTCTGTTTAGGCTAGTGTAGAGTATAGGTAGGATGGGACACCGGTCCAGGGCTTTTGGGAGTTGACACTTCGTGGTGGAAGTTGCTGCGCACACGGTATCAGGTCGTGGTTGCTGGTTCCGGTGCTGGACACGGCGGACATAGCTAGACCTTCGGAGCGTTGACCGGACTGGGGTCAACGCTGTCCGCTCTGATTCTCTGGGAGTCACAGCGGTCTGGGCTATCTGAGGGCTGATGCGTTGGAGCACGTGGTGCACTGCTGACCCTCCCAGGAGTAGGGTCCCAGTGGCGATGCAGCCATAGCTGCATCTTCTCAGAGATATCATCGTCTGGACTTCATCTTCATCAGGGACTGTTGGCGCTGAGCTTCTTCTTCATCATCTGGGTGGCGGTTGGCTCTGGGAGCCTGTTTCACTTTGGCGCAGGCCACTAAGTTGGATGTCAGGGTGGCGCTGGGTGTTACCTGGGGTTTCGGTGCTATTTTTAGCTGTTCAGGGTGTTGGGGTTGAGGCGCTACCCCTCTGTGGGTAGCGCAACAGGGTTCTGAGGTTATTTAGTGAAAACGATGCTCTGGGTTTAACAAACAGTTACAATACTGTGTTTGAGTTGTCATCTCTTCATTGATTTCTGGCCGTGATCCCTCGGTCGTCTTCTATGAATGATTGTTGGGATTTGTGTGGAGAGAATTCACCGTTTCTGTATTCTGTCACTTCGCTCCCCTGAGTCTTCCACTGCGTTTCGTTCTGTTGGGCGGTGTGATACTCCACTACCTCTCCCCTTCCTTTTGTGCATGTATGGGCGTGTACGGGAGTTCATGTGAGTGAGTGTTGATAAAATTTCAACAGACAATCATGTTCATAATAGTGCAGTGACTCGTCACTTGTTCAGTTGCGAGATGCAGAAGCTCTGCTACTGCTTGTGCGTTACGACAACTTGGGCACTGTGCGTCTGAAGGAGAAGAGAGCACTGGAGAGATAGTCCATAGCTAGGTTAGACATAGAGGAGGAGGACGGCGGCCATAGCCGCCAAGGTGTAAGATACCTGAGTGGGTGTATCCAGGGTAACGATCCAGGGTAGACAAGAGAGAGAGAGAGAGAGAGAGAGAGAGAGAGAGAGAGAGAGAGAGAAGGGGGAATCCATAGCCGCTATCTGATCGAGTCCCATTGTGTGTGTGCCGCAGGGCCGCTGGGGACAAACGTTCTTGTATATTGACAATGATATTGGTGACAACATCTTCAAGTGTAGATTGTATCCCGATTTGGCTTCTCACGTGTAAACTTGCATGTGGATGTTCGTTGATGCATGCAAGTTGAACTTGACAAGTTCCTGGCTCATTTCAGTGGTATCGGAGCTGGTTCCCGCTGCATCCGATTGGAGTTGAGACGCTGGCAAGGAAGAAGGCCGGCGGGTGACAAAAAAAAAAAGAAAAAAAAAAGAAGGCGATTGATGTTTGACGAGTTGAGGCCCGAAGTAGAAGGGGTATAGCAAGGAGCAAGAGGAGCACGTACCTCCGAGTGAGGAACTTCATCGACGGAACGGTCATGGAGTGAAGTTCTGGCATACTACGGTTCCACATGGGGCCCGGTAGGTTAGGTAGGCCAGGGGTTAGTTGGGGTTATTCGGGTCTGTTTAGGACTAGCAGCCGACCCTGGCTTAGGACCGGCGCTGTTTTGGGTCCAATAGGCCAAAGAGTCCGTTTTGGACCAGTACCAGTTAGAGGCCCTGTAGGCCTAGTTTAGGATACAGGCCCTGGCGCGTGTTTTGGGCGCCAGGCCCTGGAGGTTCCAGAGGCCATACCGATTCAGTTAGGCGCTTGGCCGTTGAGGCCCAGCCTCAGTTTGGACGTCAGATAGGCTAGCAGTTCAGGCCGTTTTAGGCCAGCAGTTCTGAGCCACTGATCGCCGGTTAGATCGGATGGCCGTGTTTGATTTCGGACAGCAGCTGAGGCCAACCCAGCGCTATATTTAGCTTGGTCCAGCCTCAGTTCCGTAGGCATCGAGTAGAGGCACTCTTCAGACGACCTCAGCATAGTAGTAGTCGACGATAGGAGTTGTAGTCTTCCAGCGCTGGGCGCTGATAGGATCTAGGTTAGCGCTGAGAGGAGAGAGAGGCAGTGGCGGAGGCCAAGGGACTTACCTGGGGACTTACCTGTGACGCCATCGCTCCAGCTTCGTCTTCAGCACGTCTGTACCTGCATCAAGGTGCCACCTTTCGCAGGTCAGTACATGATACACACTGAGAGAGAGAGAGAGAGAGAGAGAGAGAGAGAGAGAGAGAGAGAGAGAGAGAGAGAGAGAGAGAGAGAGAGAGAGAGAGAGAGAGAGA